TGTACTATCTTCATCGGACACTTGTCCAAAGGTAGGCAAAAGAGTATACTTAGAGATCTTCCGCGCGACAGGCTTGATTTCCCAGAAGTCCTAAAGCTCGCGATAACGGCAGAGGCAGACGATTACAAGGACTTGGTATGGAGAGGGATGAGGAGACGTGACTTCTCTCTCTACAAGGAGTATGCCACTGATAGATGTCCTGATTTCAAGGACTATCCCTGGGCGGAGAAGAATGAGGCCGTGGCTGAGGAAGTGAAGGAGATACGGGACATGGTGAAGGGATTGACGAGACAGGTTACAGAGATTGTGACCACTATAGGGGCCACGGCCTACCGGGACAAATCTGGAGGGCCCTATTCACTTCGCTGGGACCGTAGGAACAACGATTCCTGGAGGAGTGTCGATGATAGAAATCCTCGGACGCTGACTGATTATCGTACGAGGGGAAGAGAGAGAGATGATGAGCCATGGCGACGTAGGGATGATGAGATAGACCGAGACCGCAGAGATCGCGAGCCATTTGCGCGATCAAGGAGGCTGGATGATTACCCGCGAAGCCCTCGCTATGAGGCCGATCGGGGTAGAGGCGACTTTCGCGGCCGATGAGAGACAGATCAGGGCCGACGAGATGGATATAGGGACGACAGATACGAGAGATCGGACCGAGATGGATATAGGGACGACAGCGAGAGATCGGACCGAGATGGATATAGGGACGACAAATACGAGAGATCGGACCGAGACGGGTATAAGGATGACAGATACGAGAGGTCGGGTTGAGATGGCTACAGAGGAGTTAGGTATGAAAGAGGAGATCGGGACAGGGAACGACGAGATGGGTCGCGCGGACGGTTTGAGCGCAAGGGAGATGCGAGAGAGCAGCGCGATGAGTCGCAGGAGTGGTACAACCGAGGGGACCGACGCGATGAGACACGAGGGCGATATGACTCAGGGGACCGCCGGAATGATTCGCGAAGGCAGTATGAGCAAGGAGGGTCTGGAGGAGACCGCCGCAATGATTCGCGCGGTCGGAATGAGAGAGGGGGATATGGCGTCTCATCAGAACCATATCCCAAGTCGCCTGACCCCAAGGCAGCCAGGAGTTCGATCTCKAGAAGCGCAGACGACAGACCATCTACTCCCAGGAACTCATGCGTYTACTGTAGAGGAGAAGATCATATCAAGAGGGATTGCCCRGACCTCAAACRGGCAATAGATGAGGGACTTGTCGTGCTTGACGACCGCAAGTACGTCAAGTGGGCAGATGGTCTGGGAGATGTATCAATGTTCCCTTCGATGAAGGAGAATGTCGAAGCAAGGAGAGTAAAGCCGAGTAAAGAAAAGGAGTCGGTCAGGAGCCAGAGCATCAAGATAACCTTTGAGGGGGATATGGCGACCACACCCATAAGGATGGCAGCCACCAAGTCGGCGAAAGGGTCTGCATCGAAGAAGACTGACACGGATTACGTGATGACGGGGAAGGACGGGCAGCGGGTCGATGGAGAGGAGGTTATCCTTTCGCCGCGAAAGAGGGGAGTGAAGAAGTTATTAATGAAGAGTTCGCTGGACGAGATCGACACGGTCGAGCCACTGAGGCGGGCCCTTCGGCAACCCATGCAGTGCTCTATTCTGGAGTATCTGGCGGCATCGAAGCCGGCTCGTTTTGAGGTACAGATGATTACGCGGAACACTCGCATACCTCTATCGGAGGAGGGTCAGGGGGCCCTTAAGGCGGAAGCTCCTACAGTAGCAGTAACGGGGACGGGGGTGACTGCCAGAGCGGATCGCATGGCAACAGTCCTTCTCGATGGAATGAAAGGTGTGCCTCCAGACAAGTTTTATATACTTGGTAGCGGGGCCGTGGAGATGATTATAAACGATGGAGCGATACTCGATGCTGTGATCGATAACGACAATGAGGCTGTCATCATAGACGAGGACCTGGCAGTACATGTTGGACGGGGCCTTGATAGGTCATACCTATTCGAGATAGAAACGGCTGATGGGAGAAATCAATAGATCAATGGGGTTTGTCACAAGGCAGCCATAGAGGTGCAAGGAGTACGAGTGACCCTGCCTGTCTTTGCAGTCAAGAGACCTGCTCATGGGTCGAACATGGCTGAGCCACGTGCATGCAGTGACAATAGAGAGACCTCATGAGAGTCAAACATTGTCCATTAGGAAGCCAGACGGGACGCGGGTAATGATTGAGACAGTGGAGCCTCGGGACCCGAGGAACAGAGCAGCTCTCGCTGTGGGTGCGGGACCCAATGAACAGATTAAGTCGTTACCTATCTCCGGCCGCGCGGTGCGATTTCGCGAGAAGAAATATGGACCACTGCTCACAGAGGAAGAAGGTCGGATCGTGGAGGTGGAAGATTTAGGGAGTTGGCTAATAGTGGACGGCAACTCGTACCCAAAGGAAAAAGATGAGGAATTTAGCGGTGTGGTATCCGTGTCTTTTTTAAGGGCACAGCCCCCTATGGGGGGCTACCCAAGCGACACAAGCGAGTAACTCAAAAAGTTAAGCCAGCGGCGGTGGGCCGCGAACAATCTGCACTGGAAGGGATATCGGAAGAAGAGATTGCGAAAGAAATCAAAGAAAGAAAGAAAAAGGAGCCACAACGCCTAACGGAAGAGAGGATAGCAGGGATGGGCATCGGAGATGGAAATCTGAACCCACAGGAGGGAGAACGTGTGATAGAAATTCTGAAGACATGTGATAAGGCAATAGCTTTCAGCGACGCGGAGCGCGGTAGGATTGACCCTCGATACGCTAAGCCAGCGAGGATTTACACGATTCCACATGTTCCTTGGAATGACGCAGGATGGAAATACGCCCAGAAGGAGAAGGAAGAAGTTATCGCTTTCCTGAAAGAAAAGATGGTTTCCCACGTTGCGGAGCCGTCTGATAGCGCTTATGCTAATCGATGGTTCTTCCTACGAAAGCCGAATGGCAAGATCCGATGGATCCAGGACCTTCAGAAAGTCAACGCGGTGACGATACGAGACGTGGGCTCCGTGCCACACGCCGATTTACTGGCAGAAGGCGCCGCAGGTAGGTCGATTTATTCGGTCTGTGATCTGTTCTCAGGTTATGATGAGGTACCGCTTTACCCTAGGGACAGGCACCTCACGGCTATGCATACGCCATTGGGACTAATGGGGTAACCGTTTTTCAGAGAGTCATGATAGCCGTCCTCAAGGACTCCATTCCTGATAAGGTTGAAGTTTTTTTCTGGATGACTTTCCTATAAAAGGGCCAGTAGACAGGGATGAGACAGAGGTTGTACCTGGAGTTAGGAGATTCGTCGAGCAACATCTAACAGATATTTGCGCGGTACTCGAGCAGTTGGACGATGCGAATTTAACAGTCAGCGAAACAAAGAGCCGATGGGCCGTGTCGACTATTAAGATCTTGGGCTTTATCTGTGACTCGAGAGGACGCCGAGCAGATCCGGTGAAGTTAGACAAACTTCTCAACTGGCCGTCACCGTTACATAGCCCTACCGAGGTCCAGCAGTTTCTAGGAGTGGTCGGTTACTGGCGTATATTCATACGGGGGTATGCGAAGAAGGTTGAGCCATTGAGGTTACTCCTTCGAAAGACTGAAAAATTCTACTAGGATTCTTCGCAGGAACTCGCTATGCAAGAACTTAAAGACGAATTTAAGGAGGGAGTACGCGTATTGGGCGTGCCATTCTTTGACAATGAGACCGAGAGACCCTTCATAGTATCCACGGATGCTGGACCATGTTCAGTAGRTGGTTTACTGTCTTAGAAGGACGCTGGAGGGAAGGAAAGACCGTTAAGATTCGAGAGTAGGACACTTAATATGGCTGAGCGTAACTACATTCAATTCAAGAAGGAAGTGTTAGCTTTTCTCCGGTGTCTAGACACGTTCAGACACTATATCTATGGGCGACGGTTCATCTTAAGAGTAGACTCCACCGCGGTTGCCTCTGTCCTCCAGAAGGACTTTAGTCTGACGAACCCGACCATCGCCCGATGGTTAATACGGATTCGGTTATACGGTTACACGGTTGAGAGGATATCTGGCACTAAAAATGCCGTGGCAGATGGACTTTCGCGCATCCCTCTTGAAGCCGAGCGCCCGATAGTAGTTGGGGCCCTGACTATGGCGGAGCCAGGACCCACCGAGCGTTTTCAGGTTAACCTTTACGAGGGCAAATACCGAATGATCGGGCTACATTTGTCAGCAAAGGAGAGTCAAGAATCAGATATCCGGAGACAAGCGGCCTAGTACTGCCTTAGAGCTGGCCATCTGTTTCGAAGGCCGAGCGGCTCAGGGATGCCCTTACGAGTAGTCTGTGACCTTGAGGAAAGACAGGCAATAGTTGCGGAGCTTCACGACAGGGTAGTCGGAGGACACAGGGGACTCAAAGGAACCTACGAAAAGGTACGCAGGTTGTACTGGTGGGAAGGACAGTATAAGGACGTCGAGAGGTATTGTAGGACCTGCGAAGAGTG